CCAAGAGCGGGCCAGGGCCGATACCCGAAACCCTAAGCCTAAACCCTGCAAACACTATCATTCTTATTCTTGTTGTTACTAATATTGCTAAATCGTTGTTATTCTTATTGACATTGAACATGCTCTTCTCACTGTCAGTCTTGTCTTAGTAGCATTATGCTTCTCGCCATGGCTATTCTTACTATCAATAAACTACGTTACTATTCCTGTCTTAACTTTACCGTCGTCTCCTCGAGCAGGAGCTCTAACATATCAGGTCAGCCCGGCAGCCCTCGAGAACAAGAAAACCAAACACTGGACACCAAACCCTAAACCCTAAACCCTAAACCCAAACTCACAAACACAAACCGAAAGCCTCAACTCCTCCATCCCGAACCCACTAACCCTCATCGCACACATTGCAGCACCCCTTGCAGAAGCCCTTAAAGCCTCCCTCAAGCTCCGAAAATCGCAGCGCGCAACCCTAAACCAGCAAATACCCAAAGACCTCACCCTAAGGGTCCAAGTACCAAATAATCATATACTCTCTCAAATATTAACCTAGATAACTACTCTACGTAACCAAAGTACCTAATTATTGGGTCCTTTGGACCCTTAGGGTCAGGCTCCGAACATGGCCTCCCACCAGTGAAAGAATGGCTGGAAGCAGCCATAGGCCGTGGGCCCCAGCGATGACAACCACCAGGAAAAGCACCTCCAAATATTGTAGGGTTTAGGGTTTAGGGTTTAGGGTTTAGGGTTTAGGGTTTAGGGTTTATGTTTAGGGTTTAGGGTTTAGGGTTTAGGGTGTAGGGGCGCTTATAGTTAGAATAGGGTTTTGGTGTATAGTATACTACAAACATCATCAGGAACCCCATAAACAGTAAAACGGTCCTTACAGCAATTAGAATAGGGTTTTGGGCTGCTTTATGGCAGTATAAATATTATAATAAGGAACCCTAAGGACATACTATTGGTAACTGTTTAAGGCGTCTGTATTGGCAAGCCTTTAAGGGTTCCCATAAGGGGCTATTGTGCGAGTCTTTCTAGGCTTGTAGGGTACGGGGTTCTTGTGCTAGGGTTTGAAGTGTAGGGATTGGGGTTTGATATAGGGGCCTTAATAATTAGAATAGGGTTTTGGGGCCCATTACACTATAATTATAATAAGNNAATTATGAAGGCTCCTACATTAGGGGTGTCACCCGCACAGTAACAGCTGGAATAATGATTTGGCCCCTGCAGGCAGTCGCTCTCTTCTTCACAAGTCAGAGATAGAGAAGCTCTCTTCTGCCTTGTTTAGGGTTTAGGGCAGAAGTGCGCGATAGGAGATTGAAAGATCTATCCGTTCAATTCCTAATTTGCTGCTGCGTGGTGGAATGTCTCGGAACTCCGGTGGGAGAAGATCTTGCTAGTGCTGTGGTAAGCAATACAGAAACTCTGGAATTCCCCAGGTATGTACTATTAGGGAATCCTGAGCGTTGAAATGGTGACGAGTCAGGATTCTCTCTCGTCTTCTAATGTAGATGTGCTCCGAGACTTCGCATCGCAACCATAAACTCACCAACCCTAAAACCTAAACCACTATTAAGCCTGTAGCCAGCTACCCAACTTCTAAGACAAAAACAAAAAAACGAACCTTACACCCTGAGCCTCGGAACTGCTTCGAAACTCCAAACCCCAAGCCTTAAGCCTCAAACTGTAAACACCCACACACGAAACCCGAAAGCTGTGAACAACAATAACCTAAACCCCCAACCTCACATCCTAACCCCTAAACCCTAAACCCCCAACCTTAAATCCTAAACTCTAAACCTTGACATGAACTCCTAACCCTACATTGAACACAAGCACAACCCAAAACCCCGAAACACCTAAACCCTATAAACCCTAAACTTCTCGTTCATATATAAATAGAAATCTTAATAAAAATTCGCGGGCAAGACCCGGAATTTCGCGGGCAAGGCCCGGAATTTCGCGGGAAAGGCCGAAGGCTCAAGCTTTGCGGGCCTTGCCCCCGAAATTCGATATTCGGCTTTAGGATTCCGGCTTAGGGTTTCGGCCTGATGGCTTCGGCCTGTGTACAAGAGTAGTCGGTCTGAAGTGAACGCGTAGGACTAGGCCGTAGGTAGTTTCAAAATTTTTTGTTTCTTAAGGATTTGGGCTTCTCTGGGTGGGTGGGTACGTAATTTTCGAAGTCGAACTGGCGAGCTCGACTGGAGACTGCTCGATCCGGAGCTGCAAAACCGAAACACCTAAACCAGATCTCGGACCAGAGTGCCTTGAAGAAGATCCGGAAGACGTAGCTGTCCGAAAAGCCAACTACAACCACCTTGAGGGTTTAGGGGTTTAGGGCTTAGCGTTCCACACCACTTTTGGAAAGAACCAGTTTAAGTCGTCGGGCAATGGGTTTGTGTGTTTGAGGTTTTCGGCGTAGTGTGACTAGACGCATTTGTTGGGGTTTTTGGGTTTCAGGGCTCACTTACCTGTGGTTGTCCGGCGACTAGAGGACCACGGCCAGGGAAGCAACTTCATGATTGCTCAACATTACGCACAAAAGTGCAAACAGAAATACCACTGTGGATACGAGAATATTGCATCGAAGAAGTGCTACCATGGTGGCTCCCATGATTCCTAGAAGTTTCCGAATATACCATTGCAGGGTACAGCCCAGCCAAAAAAGACCTACGTAGTCCACGCATTCGTATCACTCCAAGGACCAACGACTAGCTATAATCTTTAAATGTATATGCGGACCATGCGGTAGCTATATTTATATCAGGACCATGAGGGAATACTGTTTCTAACTATTCCGACCTCTACTTTCCACCCCCGAAGATTCTCAGGCGAAGCCACTGCAAGGAGCGTGGAAAGCACGGCGTTGAAGGTGCAAGGCCTGAGTTTTGAAGGGTCGAAAAACGGAGGACTCGATGTAAGGGCACAAATAACTCGAACAGATTAAGGCTTTGGCTATAGCATACATCTGTACGTAAAAACTATACATATTACATGTGTATAAACAATTGCGAAAAGGCAATATTCTTGTTGACTGAATTGTTACTAGTCATTGAGGACTGGTAAGGGGACGGTTTAGGGCGCGCGGGATTTAGGGCTGCAGGGTTACAGGGTTCTCGAATCCTTTGTATTCGGGTGAGCGATTTCGATCCACATCAAAGCTCCTGTCTGGGGTGCGCTCGACCGCAGGCCCCATCGGAAACGAGGACTTCGTGTTGTATGAGGGGTTGCAAGGTTTATCTTTTCAGATGCAGGTTCCAATCGCTGGGGTCAGGGTTTCTGATTGCAGGCTTCGAACGGTATCCCGTAGCTGAAGATGGCGAATGCCCCAGGTCCAAAGACAGCCCTTTCTAAATTGGACCCCCCTACCTCCCAAACCCTCGACCCAAAACCCCAAAACGCTAATACCCTCAACCCACAAAGCCCGAAACCCCTGAACCTGTGCCCAGTAGCCCAATGCGCTCCATGGCGGCGATGGCTCGCTCCCGTGAAGTGCCGGTCGACTCCTCCGCAGATTCTAGCACGTACTGAGTTTGCAATAAGTAGTCAATCAACCGAGGAGTATATGCAGAAAACTATGTGTGCATGTGTGTGTATGTATATATATATATATATGTCTACGTAAACTCATATGCATGAATATAGAGTCAAAACTTTTTCAGATATAGATATATACCATCAAGTGTGTATGATTATATCTATATATATGTATATATATATATATACATATATATATATATACATATGTATTTACATACATATCTGAATATATATATATATATGTGTGTGTGGGTGTGTGGGTGCGTATGTGTATACATATATGTATCATAGAGAGCGAGAGAGCTCCCAATCAGCGGCCAAGTTGACTGAGGCTCGGCTGCCGCGGTCTCTCGTATAGCACCCGTGATACGGAGGCCTTTAAGTTCATATGGAAGCCTAAACTTTGTTCAGGGTTTAGGGTTTAGGGTTTAGGGTTGTTTAAATAACTACCGATATTCCTTTCAGGGGTTCTTATTGTATCTATACTATAAAGATACAGAGACTGATAAGTTAATATAGAAGCCTAAATAATAACTACCAATATTCCTTTTAGGGGTCCTTATTGTATCTATACTATAAAGCAGCCAAGGCCCCTACATTCGGGTTGCAGACCTTGACTCCCAGCGACAGTCTTGCTAAAGGTTTAGGGTTTAGGGTGTAGGGATTCAGGGTCCGTCGTGATCTCATGACTCATGCACGAATCCTGCTTAGGTAACCCTTGCTTAGGCCTAAGTAGGGTTCTGATTACGTGGTGCTTATGTGTCGTGTTGTATGAGCGATGTATAATCAGGCGGTTTTGTCCGCAGATGTTCGTGGTCAAGTTGTTTTCGTGTTTAAAAGGATTTCGTGCCACGAGTTGCATTCGTGAGTTAGATAGTCTGGTCACTCGAACAAACCTCGGAGCCTTACTTACCCCTAAACCCTAAACCCTACAAAAGGAGCTCCGACACCCTCGCAAGCTCAACGAATATAGTGGCCTGAGTAATTACCAATGTTAGTTTGCGGAGTTTAGGGTTTAGGGTTTTAGGGTGGCTCCATACTGCAAATATAGTATAATATACCCCCCCCCCCCCCAAGCCCTATTCAAATAATGAGGGCCCCTACATGAACCAGCCTCTCGGCAGCTCAGGCCGTCTGAGGGTTCGGGCTTGTGGGGCTTAGGGTTTTGTTTTTTTCTTTTGTTTGAGAGGGGGGTTGGGTTCAGGGATTAGGGTTCAGGGTTTAGGCTTTGGGTTTTGGGTTCAGGGTTCTAGGGTTTAGGGTGTTTTGGCGTTCGGGCGGTAGTTAAGGCTTAGGGTTTTGAAGGCTCAGGGTCTTAGGGCTTTTAGGGTTTGGGGTCTAAGGGCTTAGGGTTTACATAGGGCTTCTGCGGGATGAGGATCCTTGGTTGCAGGTATGGGCTGCCCGAACTACACCGCTTACCTCATAGACCAGACGTGAAACTTCAGAAGCCTGAACCCTGAGCTATATTAGGGTTTAGGGTTTAGGGATAAGCCCTGAAGCAAACACCTCAAACTTCCGTGCTCCCGGAACATGTGGGCAATGTGCGCCGCATAATCCACAGCCAGGCCGACGCAAATCAGCACATAAATCCTCGCGCCAAGATCCGGGATACCGATGCATATGCAATTGGTGCATGTAGGTTTATCTTGCTCATGTGAAGTCCACCGGGAACCCTTTGTGTTCTGACTTTGCTCAGTATTGGTGAAGTACAGCAAGCATAGTATCCACACAGACTCTGGCCAAGGGACGTGGAAACGCCGCTGATGGTGACGTCCCAGTAGTACATGAATCCCAAGGTGTTGATGATGGACATCGCCACGCAGAGGACAACCTTTGGGATGCAAGCTGAAGACTATCCAGTGTAGTTAGACAGTACGAAAGATGAACACTGGATGCCTGGAATGCACATCTGCCGGCAAGGCAGGCAAAACAAAACGGTGAAAACGCAGGGGTCACTGTCATCGTATGATGGCAGTTGAAAGCTCGGATTTGGGAATCAACCTCTAGCAAGTCTCTTGAAGTGAATGCCCAGTCCCTTAAGAATCCTTGATTACGCCTGAACATTGTATAAATCCCGACAGAACCCTCGCTTCGCTTCAGGGTTGAGGCGAACCTGAGCCCAAAGCTACCAAAGGCGCCGTAATGGTCAGAAAAGGGCTTTGATGCATGGTCTAAACCTCTAGTTTCAAAGTGTACATAATAAATACCTTTGTACAACCCTATGGGCAGTTTTGATGCACCCTAAACCCTAAACCCTAAACCCTAAACCCTAAACCCTAAACCCCCAAAGGCGCCAAGCTCTAACCCGAAAGCCCAGAACCTTGTCGAGCCCTTTTTCCGGCCCCCAAAACCCTAAACCCTAAACCCTAAACCCTAAACCCTAAACCCTAAACCCTAAACCTGAAAGCCTAGACCCAAAACCAAACATCCAAAACCCTAAACCCAAACTCCTTAAGGAAATCCTAAAACCTGAAACCCGAACTCCTTAACGGGATCCCAAAACCCTACACCCGAAACCCTAACTCCTTAAAATGCCTTAAAAGGGATCCCAAAAACCCTACAAACCCTAACTCCTTAAATGGGATCCCTAAACCATCGAAACCCAAACTCTTAACTCCTTAAATTAAATGGGATCCCCAAACCCTAAACCCTATAAAGCCTAAGTCCTTAAAAGGGATCGGACCCCTAAACCCTCGAAGCCCTAAACCCTATAAGCCCTAACTCCTTAAAAGGGATCCCTGAGCCCTATAAACCCGAACTCCTTAGAAGGATCCTAAAAACCCTATAACCCCTAACTCCCGAAAAGGGATTCCCCAACACACAGAGCCACGGAGCCCAGGTCGCAATGCGGACGGATGGGACCAAGGCGAAGATGACCTGAGCTGAGCTTTCCGAGGAAGGACGTATATAGGGTTCTAGATACTTAGAATAGGGTTTTGGGGCCCATCATACTATAATTACTAGAAAGGGACCTCCAAAATAGTATTGTTAATTATTTAGGCCTCTACGTTATATAGGGCATATGTAAGAGCTTATCGTCAGGAGTCTAGGATTTCAGGGTTTAGGGTTTAGGGTCAAGGTTTAGGATTTTAGGGTTTAGGGTTTAGGATTTTAGGGTTTGGGCTTTACAGTTAGGAAGGCTTCGTGTGGCTTTTGAACTTCGAGCTTGAGGTGTTTTTTGGGCCCAGGGTCGTTCCCGAATTGCATGTAAATGGGAGATGCCAGCAGCCGAGTGGATGCCAAATGGATTTGCAGTAACAGGCAGGGCTTCGGAATGCACGGATTCCGGATATAAATGACACAGCAAACATGACACGCACCGACAGATTGCTGGTTGCAGACTCCAACATATAAGACGGCGTAGACAGGCGTTTGATATATGGTTTGTTGGTTATTTCGTTCTGTAGGGTAAAGCTTCCGTCAGCGGATCTGCAAACTGTGGACGGGTACCGGGCATCGTCGGAAAGGGAATACCCAGAGAGCCCCCGTACCCCTTAGCTGAGGAATATGGGAGTTTCCGAAAATTAGGGTATCCTATTTGGGGGTCCTTATAATAAGGATCCTACTATTTAGGGTACTATATTAGGGTCCCCTATTTTCTGAAACCCCCATATTCCTCAAGTTGTACAGTACCGTTTAGTGTCGATTCGGGCTTCCATTGAAGATGTTCCTTGCTCAAACTAGAAGAAACCCCTAAACCCTACGCCCGCAAAACCCTAAACCCTAAAACCATAAACCCTAAACCCCCATTGCATGACATAGTTTGAGGACCGTTCCTTACTCGAGGGGGATGGAACTCTCTGACAATGCCCCAAGCTGTTAGGTGGGCTATCACGGCAATCCCGTTGGGGTTTAAAGGTCAGGGTCGAGGGTCTATCTTATGCGGTAACCCTAAACCCTACACACCAAATCCCCTATAAACAACATTACGAGCCGTGACAAAATCCCTTACAGAACCTTTAAAGCATGAGAAACTAAGTTCCGGAGTAGCCCCTCAATAATCAGGGTACCCTTTTTCTACTGCTTGGTTGCAATAAGGGGAACCCAACAAAAAGAAACAGTGCTAAACGGTACTACTCAGGAACCTACCGTGAATCCCAGAAAATTGACACATACATTTCGGATGATTAGTGCTGGGATCCCCTTTGTTTTACCTTTAAGAGCATGAGGATTATGATGCTCCAACTTTTCTGGGCCTAAACCCCAAACCCTAAATCCTAAACCCTAAACCCCTAAACCCTAAACCCTAAACCCTAAACCCTACTTTAGGAAAAAACTGGCGCCAAACCTTCGGCTCCCACTTCGGAGCTCAGTGGCAACGAGGATAACTCCACCGCAGATGATCAAATTTCGCACGAGCTCCTCTCAGAGCTAAATGGCACTCGAATTTTAGGACTAGTTCATGGTTGGGGTAGTATTAAAAATTTAAATTTCTATTCCTTATTGGGTTTAAGTACCCTTAAAAATGTAAAATGTTACCCAACTATGACAAAGGATAGGGGCTTAAGGTGCCAGGCCTCTAAACCATGAAACCAAAAACCCAAACCCAAACCCTACGACTCAGCAACAGGATCTAATGAGATTGGATGGGGGTTTTGACTCATGGCAAAGCTAGTAGAAAGCGAGGCTTCGGGGACAGTGATACTCATCAGAACTTGTCTGTTAAATTGCAGGGGAATGGAGTTCAAGGCTTTTTGTGAACATGGTTCAGGGTTTCGGGTTTAGGGTGGTCTTTGTAATTCTGATCGTATTTTTTCACGTTCTGTCAGGGTCCGCGGCCACAAAGGCGCATCCCCACTGAGTCAAACTGAATCCTGGAACCAAACCCACTGCCCACAATCCGGAACTGTGCAGCTTGGCTGGAAGATACAGGGTTTAGGGTTTGCTGGGCTGCTGTTAGGGTACTGTTACTCGAATAAAGAAAGCCTGTCGTTTACTGATTATATGTCCCCATTATTGTAAGTTAAGCTCCTGAAACGCAACCCTAAACCCTATAACCCTAAACCCTAAACCCTAAACCCTAAACCCTAAATTTCCACCAACGCTAGAAGGCTGGGGAACAGAAGACTCCCGAGTTGCAACCAGCCTCATCGATGATGCCGACCTGGTGACACAAGACAAGTCTGTTTAAGGATTCTTTGAGGGTGTAGAGGTCTGGGCGGTTAGGGTTTAGGGTTTAGGGTTTAGGGTTTAGCGTCTTTCGGATTATCGGTTCAGGCTTTATGTTGCGGAGATGAACCCTGAAGAGGTTTAGGGTTTAGGGGTCAAGATGTTACCTACTTATCGTTGCCCAATATGTCCCAAGGCCATTCCATTCTGCGCAGATGGTCGAAACCCACACCACGGCGGCATTCCAGGAAGTAAAAGGGCATACATGGCCAGATATTCCTCAAGGTACCCATGCCCTCATGCTAAAACCTAAACCCTAAACTCTAAACCAATGTGGGAATCCGCTTGATCATCACCTCCTTCCTTTTGGGAATCCTGATCCAATGGATCGTTTGGTAAATTGAAGCTAGGGATCTGCATCCTGATACACAATATGGGGGTTTCCGAAAATACGGGACCCTAATATAGTACCCTAAATAATAGGATCCCTATTATAAGGACCCCCAAAATAAGGTACACCCTATTTTTGGAAAGTCCCATATCCGTGCACAGGTTGGCATGTATGGTGGTATGTCTGTGTAGATAGATGGGAGTTTCAGAAAATAAGGGGTACCTTATTTTGGGGTCCTTATAATAAGGATCCTACTATTTAGGGTACTATATTGGGGTCCCCTATTTTCGGAAACCCCCAGATAGACAAATACACATATAGGCAGAGCATGCGCAGGTATACTGGATCCGTTCATCAGCTGCTTTCCCGGACCTTCTGCAGATTTCGAGGATGTATGCGCCGGGATCGACGAGGCACACTGTCGAAACTCCTCTTAATTTAAAGGAACTACAGGTGGGGAGTTTAGGGTATATAGGGCCTCTATAAGGCTTCCATAGGGTATATAGACCTTCTATAAGGCTCCAATAACGGCAACTACCCACCTGAAAACGTCCTAGACTTGACTTTCCCAAAGGATCTTACCTACATAGTAGAAAGCCGGGTTTCTGTCGTAGGTTACCATTATTGTTGGGTAAGTATCCCCAATGTCGATCCTTTGGGTTTGCTCGTGGATATTCCAGCATGTGAGGCGACCACAACCCACCGCTGAATCCTGAGCCACATCACAACCCCTGCGAGCTGAAGCTGCAGACACAGCTTGGAAAAAACGGTTTAGGGGTTTAGGGGTTTAGGGTTTGGGGGCATGAGACAGATGGCCTTGACCCCTAAACTCTAAACCCCGTAAACCCTACTGACACCGAAATACTGTGATGTCGGAAAAGGGGAAGACTTCTGCCTTTCAACGGGAAGCCCCCCCCCCCCCAAAAAAAAAAGATCATAATAATAATGATAATAATAATAATAAATACAAATAATAATCTGCAGGTCGAGCTCGGAGCGAGCCCAAACCAAAACAGCCAATGTAGGGGCCTTACGAATTAGACTTAAAAACTTGGGTATGCTATACTATAACTGTAATAAGGAACCCCAAATAATGTGGGTAAATATTTTGAGGCCCCCTATATTAAGCCCTCAACCCTAAACCCTAAACCCTCAACCCTAAACCCTAGACCCTAAACCCTCAACCCTAAACCCTTAAGTT